TGGATGGAAATGAGGATGGGAATGGAGATGCAGGTGAAGATAGATGATTGGGATGGGGACACAGGTTCAGCCTTGTGGTTCACACCAGGCACCTCACCTGCAGCAAGCCTCTGTGGCCTCCTCAAGGCAAGTGGTTTCTTGCTTCTGGGCTGTGCAGACACAACTACTCTTTAGCATAGTCCTGTTCTACCTGGGCACACAACAGCCAAGCCGATAAAAAAGTACATTGTGGTCCATACACCAAACATCTTGTAACCTGCAGGATGTGGTGCCTCTCGCAGAGCTGCAAACATCCCAGCCACACCCCTCTGTGTCCCTGCACAGCTCAGAGGGTGGCTGGGGAGGGGGGATGGGGACACAGGAGTATTCACAGGCCAGATTGGTTTGGAACGCTGCATCATTTTGTAGCACAAACTTAAGTCAGTGCTTGGGGTTAAGGGTGCTGTGAATATGCTTTTAAATCTGATTTTAATTTGTCAATATATGTGCAATTCCCTGCTGACAAAGCTGCTGGGAAGAATGGAGTAATCTCCCATTAGCAGTAGCCGTTGCAGTAATGAGCCTGTTACTATGGAAATGAGCTTGTTAGCCATTCCCTCTCCCCAGTCAGAGAGATGCTCAGGTGCAGCATCAGGGAAGCTGGTTATTCCTGAAAGCAAGTGGTACCCAAGGTGATAGTGAGCCTAACCCCAAGGTAGGGCTGGAAGATCTGTTGAAAGTCCCCAGGTGCTGGGATGGATGCAGGGCAAGGCGGCCTGCTGCCAGATTGCCAGCTTAAGCAGGGGCAGGGAATTGATTGCCAAACTGCTCTCTATTGTCTTTGAAAGGTCTTGGATAATAGTCAACATCACTACAGTCTTTAGAAAGGACAAGAAGGAGGAGCCAGGAGGATCCTTCTTCAACTTAAGGTATAGAGTCAGCCACTCTCAACTGGATGAGTGTATGGAGAAGAGCAAAATCACAGAATCGTAGAATCACAGATTCGTCAATCACAATACATCCTTTGCTTTCATTGCTGCTGCTGCTGCAGGCCTCCAGAAAATGGCATTTCTTCTTTAACACCAGATGCATGTTGCAAGTTTGGAAATGGCTCTGTCCTCTGTGCTGGGGGATCATGAGGGACACTGCAACATTTAGGTTCATCCTTAAGTAGCACATTCTCTTTGTTAGAAAAATAAAATATATTGTGGGAAACTTACAGCAGGAGTTGTTGGTCCAAGAGGAAACCCCCAGAGCAGTGGTTTATGAGCTCAAAGCCTGTCTGTCTGAAGGAGCAGCTGGATGATGTGCTGCAAGCACTCACATGCTTTGTACATTCAGAACCAATGATATCAGAGATATTTCTGCTGGTTACAATGCCTGAAGTCCACCAGAAACTGCAGTGGACAACTCCTGGTGCCAAACATACAAACCAGTGTAGCGTTCAGGGTTCTCACTGCATCACTTGGCTCATTGAGTGTCATTAGGAACAGTTTGTTTCTATATCATTGCTTCCAGTGTATTCCAAAAGCACCAACTTAGAAGAAACATCATTGATTTCTCCTAATTATAAATCCTATAGAAAGTTTTAAGCTTGCAGCAGTCACAGTTCTTCTCAGCAGAGCCAATAAAAGTTACGAGTTGCTCCCTGGTTACTGTCATTACAACAATAAAAAGCCAGAGTAATTGAAAAGTGAATCAGGGAAGCTGCCAGATTGGAGAGCAATGATAATAGAAGAAATTACTTGGGAGTCCAAACCCAATGCAAAGTGATGTCTCTGGCTGCACTGAGCTCATGCCCAGTCTGAACGAACTCCCGTGCTGATAGATGTCCAATGGAGGAAACACCTCCTGCATGCAAGTTCTGGAGCACAGAGCAAAGCAGGAGCAATGAAATACTTGTGTCAGCAGGTCAGGCACTCAGGGCAGGAGCCAGCAAGGGTTGCTGTCAGAATTCCCATCTGAGATCACAGAATCATTAAGGTTAGAAAAGACCTCTAAGATCCCCAAGTCCAACCCCAGCCCGCCCTCACCCTCACCATGCCCACTGCCCACGTCCCTCAGTGCCACCTCTCCATGGCTCTGGAACACCTCCAGGGATGGTGACCCCACCACCCTCCTGGGCAGCTGTGCCACTGCATCACTGATCTTTTGGAGAAGAAGTTTTTCCTAATACATTTCCTCTTCCTAGAAGACAAGGTGGCAATGGAACAATTAATAATTTCTCCCTCTATCAGCATCAAGCTTAAAAGTAAGAACTGGAGACACAGCAACAGATGCATATCTGTCAAGAGAAGGATTATTTCCCACTAGACAGATTAACTGGTACAGGAGGGCCTCAAAGCCCACAAGTCATTAATGTTTCCACATTGTTAAGATAAGCAGATGCCCATGATTGTCTTTGTAATTTAGGTAGCCTGAAGCAAGGCAACAGGTAAGCACCACAGTAAGCCATAATATCATGTTGGTAGTGATACTGCCATAAAGGGAGACCTGAAAAACCCCCTAGGGGGAAGAGAAAAGGAGTGGCATATCTCTACACTGGGGATGGTGTGTCTGTTTTGCTCTCCATGTGGCCAAGATGCACCACATACAGGAGATCCCTTGTACTCAACTGCACTGCCCATAAGAAGTCCTTGAGCACTTCTAGCAAGTCTAAAGAAGGCTCACACATACCTGCAGAAGTCCTCTAAAAAGGACACAAAGAAAGATGAGCTCACAGAGATGCTGCTCTGGGCCTTGAGCTCTCCCAGGCGAGCATCCATCCAGATTGGTGACAACTTCTACAAAGACAATTCTCCAGAGAGGGATAGAAATAAATCCATAAACTACAGCAAGAAGATTGCATTGACTTCAGAAAAGTCCAGCATGGGTTGAACAGCCCCATCCCTGGAGGTGCCCCAGTCCATGGATGGACCCTGGGCAGCCTGAGCTGGTGAGGGGCACCCAGACCACAGCAGGGGTTGGAACTGGATAGACTTTGATGTTCTTTTCAACCCAGCCATTCTCTGATTCTATGATTACACTCTATAGAGATAGGACGAGATAACCCCAATGCAGACAGGCTGCTGCTGCTGATAGGAAGGGACAGCTAGGGCAAGTTATAGCTTTCAGCATGGGCTGGACTCGGGAATACACCAGGGCTGAAGTTCAGATTTGAGTTCCCCCATGAGAAAAACCTTGCAGGAGAAAAGGACTGGATCGTACATGAGAAAGCATTGCATTCCCCACTGGTACACATCCACAGCACCACTGTGCAGTCAGCACTGCAGGAACCAACTGGGAGGGCTGGAAACCTTGGGCAGCCCGATGGCACTCTGCAGACCTTTGCTAATGACAGCTCCTGACACTGACACTGCACTCGTCAACCCCAATTTCCACTTGCCAGGAGAGATGCTTTCCCTAATCACGGTTGAGAAGTATGCAGCTGTACGTTTTACTTGCTCTTTTGTCATTAAAGAAAGCATGGTATGAGGGATGAGATTTCCTCGTGCACAGCAAAGCAAGCTGGAAATTTGTTAGTGAATATGGGAGGATTTGCAATTCAGCTGTGAACTGCAGCAAGGGGCTGCTGGTGATCGCAGCGTGCTCAGTATTTATAGCTGAATGTTGAGTCCCTGAGGAGCAAGAAGAGCAGCAAAACAACCAAACCCACCAAACCAGGGTTACAGTGAACTCAGCTGAGGCAAAAAACGGGAACTTTGCGCGCCGTGCCCTGGCTGTCCACTTTTCTGCAGACTTTCTGCACCGGGTTTTAAATCATTGCATGACATAAATAAATAGAGTGGTAGGAGTCAGTGTTTCTAAATGGGTAAATATATACGCCTGTAAACACACAGAAATACATAAACGTGTCAGGGTTTGGGTTTAATCCCCGTGCACGTATTCCTCTCAGATGATCACTTTGAGGACTAATGATTTTGCTTCTGTGCAGTGAGGTGGGCAGCATTGGTCAAGGAAGATGACCTTAGATAACGCACTGAGTAGCTCAGAGCTGATAAGATTTGTCCTGTCCTTAAAGCCCAGAGGGAAAGAAGAGGGGACTGATGATGTACCATGTCCTGATGCCTGCTGTGCAATCTAATCACACACTATTACCATGCTCTCAATTGCAGAATTGAGCACAGGTTTGCATCGCCTTTCTTCCAGTGTAGAGTTAAGATAGTGAGCGTGTCCCCTCTCGTGTGCCATTAGCACATATCAGTGCCATGGACCTTACATGTGTGCAAAGATCCTCTGCTGCAAAATGTTCTCTTTACATACTCTGCAGGAAAAATCTGGCTTTAAAGCATTAATTTAGTATGCACAGGAACATTTCTATGAGACAGATGTTCTCTGCTTGTGCTGTTCACACTGGAGTTGTGAGGAACACCATGGCAGAGAGAAAATGGTGGCTCATGGCAGGGTATGAAGTGGGGGTCGAACTCTGCTCGCAGGAAACAGTGATAGGACAAGAAGTGATGTGCTTAAAATGCAGCAGGGGAGGTTCAGCTTGGATATTAGGAAACATTTCTTCTCCAAAAGAATGGTGCTGCAGTGGCACAGCTGCTCAGGGAGTGATGGGGTCACTGTCCCTGGAGGTGTTCAAGAAATGTGGAGGTGTGGCACTGAGAGACATGGTTATGGGCATGGTGGGATGGGGTTGGGGTTGAACTTGGTGGTCATAGAGGTCTTTTCCAACTTTATGATGCTATAATGCTATGGTAAGAGTGCTGGGAATTTCTAAGGGATTTAGTTCTGCTGGGATGGCCAGGGCTGATGGTGGACTGCTCTGTCTCTACAGCTCTACTAGCAGTAAGTAAGCAGGCAAGAGCTCTAGCAACATCCATTTGAAATACACTACTAGTGCCTAGTGAACTCCAAAGAGCAAAATTTGCAAAGCTATATTGAGGTGTTGAAATGAGGTTGGAAAAAAACCCACAAGTGGGGAACCTACAAGTGGGGATGTGCCCACATGCCTGCTTTCATCCCAGTACCGTGCTGCTCTTGCTGCCCTGCCTAACATAGTCCTCTCCCTGCAGTTCGACATGCAGAGGATAACGCTAGAAGAGCTGAAGCACATCCTGTACCATGCCTTCCGGGACCACCTAACGATGAAGGACATCGAGAACATCATTATCAACGAGGAGGAGAGTTTAAATGAAAACTCCGGCAATTGCCAAACAGAGTTTGAAGGTGAGGATGTTTCTGTACAGTTGTTCTCTTCCCGTTTCCTTTGTAAAACTCAGTCTGATGCTGGATGTACCACAGGCAGGGATGCAGAGTTAGCATGGAGCAAAACCCTTTGTTTCCTTGTTGTTCCTTGGATTGTGTTCAACTCAACTTTGTCATTAGATGGCTTGCATGGCTACAAGGCGGTAGTTGGGCTGAGCTTCACTTTGGAGCAATCAGGGAAGTGAGACCCATGGCTCAACTCTAGTGCTTTATAGGAAATGGAAAGGAGTATTTGTATCAAACATAGCCAACTTTGTCTTTTATTGCCCAGTGTAAGAACATAGCAGACAATTTTACCTTCAAAGCCCAAGCCTTATATTTATTCACAGTGCAGAAATCTATTGATTCCTGGCAAATCATTGAGCTGCTGGTCAGCAGTGGAGCAGCATCGCTGGATGAGCTCCAGGCTGAGATATGGGAAGGGAAATGCTTTGCTTTGCAGCTGTTGCTTGGTGCAGCACCCACTCAGCAGTGCCCCAAGACCACTGTGTAAGTGATCAGCAATGGAGATGGGATGCAGCCCGAACTTTTACAGTGTATTATGCACTTTGAATGGAGTTACCACTGCTAAGAACATTTACTAAGATGGAAAATTTACTTAAGGAAACCACTTTAAGCTGCCGTAGGAGAAGAATTTTCTTTGCCAGAGGAACTCATGGTGCTCTGAAGTGTTGCTGGTTGGAACAACCAAATATACAAATCATTTCAAGTACAGAAAAGTCCAGGGAGATACCTACAGAGGAACTCAGGGTTTGAGCGCATCACCTGCTGCTTTCCCTCATGTGGTGCCTCTGAAGGGGCATCAGGCAGAGATGCTGAAGTATCTTACAATAAAGCAAAGTGCAAAACTTAGCCTGGCTAATTAATGAGATTCAAACACTGTATCCAGCACACTCATCCTCTGCTAAATACTGCAGAAAAGATGCAGAAGATTATGGCTGAATTTTAAGAAGCCTGCAGGAGGGAAGCAAGCAGCAATCGTCTTCAAACCAAGCCAAGCAAGCAGCAGGGAAGAAGGGATGCTTATATCCATGGATGGAGCTGTTGGTCCCTGCTGAGCTCGTGGAGCTGTACCCCAGCTGTCACTGCTGCATCGGCACTGGGGTGAACAATCCCAGACACAAAACCATGGGTCTGAAAACTTCAGTGCTCAGCATCTCATTTTGGAAGTCCCAGCTTCCAAAAGTACAGCGAGAACAGCTTTTCTCGTGGGATGTTGGCATGGCTGGTGCTAGGCAGAACCTAGAAGCAAAACAGACCCTTTTTTAGATGTTGTTAGAAATACACACGCGCGCACAAACCCACCGGAGAATTAAAGATCAGCTCGGCACTGTCAACCAAGACACTAAGTTGTGCTGCAGGTCCCGGAGGAAGGAGATGGTTCTGGTCTGCAGCAGCTCTGACAGGAGCATTTCTCCCAGGGAAGGCAGGCTGAGAGCAAGAGATGTCCTGCTGCCCTTGGCTGTGGACATGCCATTATCTGAAAGACCTCCTTGTGCTGGAGGAAACCAAAGCATTCCCATTTCCCACATGCTGAGTTCCCTGCAGGGCTCAGAATGACAGGGCCTCTGCTGGCACTAAGGAAAAGCTGTTGTGAAGCATCTCAGCCTGGCTTTAAGTGTCTCCATGTAGGTTAGATGCTCTTTGCCCACTTGTTAATTAGCAGAGTGAAGGAGATGCTTTTGAGTACAGCCCCTCTAATTTATTTGAAGCACTGCATTGGAATGAGGTGAACAGCACTGTAAAAAGCAACTGCTGCTTTTAACTGTAAAGGTAGCCTAAAGAGACTTAACTTAGAGATCTACATCTATATTTAATGTACATTACATCCACCCCATTAAAGTGGCTTTAATTATGGGTAGGAATGAAGCCAAGATGAGCCCTGGTGGTTTTCACTGAGGTTAGGGATGACAGGTACCTTCAGTTCCTTGCTGCAGCAGGAGCTCTGCACCCACCATCACCACTGGGTGTGTTGTTGCCACCAAGACAGAGCCCTGAGACCCTTTTCCATTCTGCACACCTGGGACCTGCTCAGCCCAGCTCTTCCTGGCTAATAAATTGATAGAGCATAGAAATGTCTGAAGAGCCCCACCAATCTGAAAGCACTGAAACCAGTCAGATGCCAACCAGCACTGCACAGGTACTTTTGCCATCAGCAGAAATGCACATTTCTGTCTTTCTCCTAACCTGATCGTTTTGGCTTCTTGTCATAGTAAGGCCTTCAAAACTAAGATTTATAATATTCATTGTATATCAACACAGATAGTGTGCACTATTTCTCTCTCTCATACTCACATGCAGCCATGCACACTTTAAATGAAGTATAAAACTCATATTATGAATGGAGACAAGTCCAGGATTTTGTTCAGCTTGCTCTGAACATGAGAGTCATTTGCAAGATGTCAGCTGTAGGCTCGCATTACAACTTGCCCTCTTACACATTTCTAGGGAGCTTTGTTAGCCTTCTACTTGATGAAGAACAAGGCAGTGAAAATGCCCAGCTTCCCAGTACCAGCAACTCATACCAGCCCTGACAATGAAGAACACAACCAGAAGGGAGATGCAGTTATATTTTCAGCTCTTCTCACTATTTATATTAATGCTTAGGGCAGGAGAGCAAGGCTGAGAGCCAAGAAGACTGCATGCTTTAATGGGAAAAGACACAAGGAAAGGAGACAACTGTTTGGAGTGACATTGCACTAACAAAAATTTGTAGCACAATAATTGTCTGTCTGGAAGTTCTCTTTATCAAAATGCTCGTGACATTGAGCTCATGGCAAACGAGTGCTGGATGGTTACAGTGATGTGGCCTGCGTGCCTTCTTCTGCAGGCTCTCATAGAATCATTGAATCATAGAATCATAGAACAGCTTGGGTTGGAAGGGACCTCAGAGATCATCAAGCTCCAACCCCCCTGCTGCAGGCAGGGCTGCCGACCTCCACATTTAACACTAGGCCAGGTTAGATGTATACTTGCAGGAAAGCAACATGATATACAAAACAGCTTTCAGGCTCTCAGTGCTCTCCCTTGAGCATCCCAAGACCGCTGTGAGCATCGTGACCAGTCTGGCAGTCAGAGCCAGTGATCCAATATACTCCAAAACCAGCTGGACCTGTTGAGCCTATATTTCTGGAGGAATTGCAGCCATGGCAGTGTGTATCTGCCACCCCTTGACAAAGTCTTGCCAGCCAGCATGTTGGGAAGATGAAGGATGAGTCTCAGTGTGCTTCTTTAGATTTCCTTTATGTTGGGAATTGCTAGGAATTGCTTTCCCTGCTAGAAACAGGCTTGTACATCTCAGGAGGAGGCTCTGGCTCTGACCATATGTTCAAGGAACCAGTTGAATTCCAAGCTTCTGCACATCCCATGGGCAGTGAAAACTCCTATTGGCAAGAGGTTGGACATTAGGAAAAAGTTCTCTGAAAGAGTGGTCAGGCACTGACACAGGCTGCCCAGGGATGTGGTGGAGTCACTGCCCCTGGAGGTGTTCCAGAGCCATGGAGATGTGGCACTGGGGGATGTGGGTCAGTGGGCAATATTGGTGGTAGATAGATGGTTGAACTAGATGATCTTAGAGGTCTTTTCCAACCTTAATGATTCTATGATACTGTGAAAACGCAGTGCAGATCAAGTCTCCAGGCCTGTGACAATGCCCTCTCTGGAAGCCAGTAGGAAAAAGAACAGATGCCATGCTCAAAGGGGAGGTGAATTTGGAGAAATGAGGTAACTGAGGGAAAAATTCATAAGTTACAGGGAGGGCAAAAAGGTTTTCATATTTAAGAAGATGATTCACAGACTGATCCCAGGGCTGCACATGACTGTGTTAATAATGAAGAAAGTCAGCAACTTCAGCTTCTTAGTTGGTGAAGAACAATACCAATGACTTACCTGGATCCTGCTGCCTTAAATTACTATTTTTACTTGTCAGAAGACTGAAAAAATGGTTTGCTTCAGAAACATTTCTGCAGGAATCACTGAATATGCTTTGCTTTTTTCCTTTGGGAGGAAAGATGCCACCAAAGAAAGTCTTGGCCAGTCTTCAGCTGCTCTCCTATCCATGGTAATAGGCAACAGAGCCCAGTGCTGAACAGCAGCACTGATCACAATGGCTTATGTCACCATTCTGCCTGGCTGGGAGAGTTTTTCAAAGTGCAGAAATAAGAAAAATTAAAAAGGAATAACTAAGGCTGTTATTTAACAAGATTCTCAAAGCGCTGGGGCATCATGCACAATTCTACCGTGTTGATCCTGTGCGTAATATAAAAGCAAACAGAGGAGTGAGGGGGCAGAGCTGTGCAAGCAGAAAGCTGTAATTTAGGAGAGGTGCTGAGCAGGGTGTAGCAAGTCCCAGTACTGCCCATACTGGCAGGGCATCACTTGCATGAGGATTCTCTGCCTTTCTGAGTTCACCTTGCAGAAACTTGCAGAGCCTTTTCAGACACTGATTTTTGTGGTGCCCCAATATTGTTCTGGTATTCTCAGACAGGGGATTGATCATGTCCTGCCCGTAAAGGAAGAGAAGGGATAACAAGATTTCTGTTTTCTTAGATCACCAAGTGTATCCTTCTGCTGATCTTAAAAACATAATTAAAGAAAATATGTCAAATGCTAAAAATCCTAGCTCTGACTGCATTTTAACTGCTGCAAATTACCCTCACCTCCTTTGGCAACTGTTCTGCAAGGATTTGTTTGAAAAGGTTCTTAATAAGTCTGATTTTGCTTAGGCACTAAAAACCTAAAAACAGTTAAAGAAAAAAAAAAAGACTAATGTACTATGTATACTCATGGGAGTGATCACAGTGGGTTTTTTAAGTGTTGTTGGGAGCACATCTTGAGTCTCTACTCACTTCCAGTTGACCTATAAGCGACAAAACCTAAGGGGATTTGCAGAAGACCAGTATTTCTGATAAAATGAATGCATAAAAAACTTCATAAAGAGCTTAGAAAGAACTACTCAGATCAAACTGAAACACTTAAATTTTCAGGCACCTCGAGGGTTTTAAAGCCAGTGTGTGTGAGAAGGGGCTTCCTAAGTATGAAGGGTGGTCTGGTAGGAAAACTGGTTTGGAAGTAATCATAGAATCATAGAATGGCCTGGGTTGAAAAGGACCTCAAATATCATCTGGTTTCAACCCCTCTGCTATGTGCAGGGTCACCAACCACCAGACCAGGCTGCCCAGAGCCAGATGAAAGGTAAGGTTCATTGTTTGGAAATGTCCCCAAAGTACTCACCCTCTAAGGGTCCCCACTGGTCCTCAAGGGGAGGTAGGGTGCGTTCAAGGTGTGGGCACGGCTGTGTGCACTTAGAGGCAAAGGAGAATTTCTGAGTTCAGCTGATCCTGGCGGGGAGCAAAGGTGTTTCTTTGTCCAAGTAGCTCAACCTTCCCTTGTCTTTCTGCAGTGCACGCCCAGAAGCAGAACAGACAGACCTGCGTCCGGAAGAGCCTTATCTGCGCATTTGCCATGGCCTTTATTATAAGCGTGATGCTGATTGCGGCCAACCAGATCCTGCGGAGCGGCATGGAGTAGCCTCTCACCATGACACTGTGACCCAAACTGACCATGCATGCGCATGCCACCGGGTGAGCTTCCCCCGAACCGACTCTCACACGGCAAAGAGACAGAGGCGGGCAGATAACGCACCATTCGACAAGGAGCCTGGGGCCAGCAGCGTAACGTGTCTTGTGAATCAACCACATCCTTTTGGCAGGGACATAAAAGGGCTGTCTTAACGCTTTAAAGGTTTTGTTTCCTAATGCAATAAAAATAAAAAATAAACACACGGAAGTCCCGAATTATTGCTTCAGAACAGCAATGGTAACTTGGAAGACGCTTTCATCCAGCAGTCTGCTTTGCAGTTGTAAGGAGGCACAGCCTTGTGACTGGCTGCAGCGGGGCTGTCTTTTAACCTAGGGGCCGACTGACTATGCCGCATAGCTCCCCGGCAGGCCCACCTTCCCAGGAAGTTGATCGTAGCATTGCCACAAGCAAGTCCTGTTCGTTTTGTTTCACGTACTTTGGCTTCACATTCTTTTTCCCTTATGACCATGCCTTTGAGTTAACGGCATTAGAGGGGAGCTAGAGCATCCTTGTACAGTATTTTCAGAGTAAAGAAGAGGAGAATTTGCCAGCATCATACAGAATTTCTATTTTTGCTTCACAAACGTCGCCTTTGACACAAGACTGTGGGGTAGCAGGAGTCTGTTTGCCATTTTTTCCCACCGAGAATCAGGGCTTAAGAACCACCACCCACTTCCCCACATGGGCATTCCTGAGATTCGTGCAGTCTTCCAGCCAGCTCTGCAACCACCAGCGCCAGTTGAAAATCCCTCTGTTTGGTGCCATCTGCATATTCAACATTTTCTTTCCAGCAGTTTTGCCCTTCTGCTGTAACAGTCTTCAATAACCTTATTGAGGCTAGAACCACTGAGAAAGCTCTGAGCTTTTCTCCCTGCTCCTCGACTGCCCAATTTTTACTGAATTCATTGTTGCAATTGCATCCAACACCTACTCATGGGAGAGGTTGCATTTTCACCTGTATGGGGAGGTGGGATTTGACCAGCAAGTCACTCCATCCTTCACGGTCCCACCGTCATCACCACTGCATATCCCATGGACAGGCTGAAAGAAGGTGATCAGATAATCAGGCTGCTGCAAGAAGAGAAGGAATCAAACTCGAGCATACCGCCATATGTTCCATAGTGTGTCAGACTTTCAGATCCCACAAGTGTTAGTTATTTTTCCTGGAAGAGATTTTAATGAGCAGCAAGGAGAGGATGGAATGATGCAGACCAGAGGCACAACGTGTCCCATGGAGCCAGGATTACATCTGAAAGCATTTCTGCTTTTAAACCCGACACAAATCCTTGTGTTTACCTTCAGATGAACTATACACCCGTGTATCACTCCAGGAGGGATCTGGTTCCCTTGCCATGATGGGTGATGGCTGTGTTTGGGGAGCATTGGCGCGGGGTTGGAACGGCAGTGGTTTCTGCTGCCAGCTGATTGAGCTCCAGAAACACGATGGAACAGCAAGATCTCACTCCTGTGAATGTAGAGGACTGTTTCCTGTGTCTTGAGAAGGGGCAGGATGGCTCCCAAAGAGAATGTGGACCATGAGCTTCACTTGTCCTACACAGTGGCCATCGTCTTAAGCCTGGATCCATCCCAAAGACTCATTTCTGCTCTTTGTTCTTGGTTACAAGTTCATTTAACCTGTATTTTTCTAGTAATCTGATGTAAAAATGTACTTCCCATTGTTGTGTCTCCCACCACCCCTTAGATCTCATGTATCTGCTTAGGATTTTGCCTTTAGGTGTGTGTTACTATTTATCACCTTCACAACGCTGCTGTTTTCCTGGTGCCCCCCTCCATCTCCAAAGATGACAGCTGTCATTTCCAAGGCAGCTGAGTCGTTTTTCTGCCTTTCACAAACACACATTTCTGTATTTCTGTTCAGCTGTGACTAATAGAGGTCAGCTACAAAATACTGTGCAGAAATTGTTACATCTCACAGAAGATGGAGGGATTTGTGTTTGCTGTAGGGCAGGACCAGACTTCAAACCAACGGCAGAAAATGATAGGCAAGCTCTGAGCACAGGATTCACACTGATGGGGAACTCAGGGTTGCTCCCAAAGCTCACTGTGTTGGACATTGCAGAAAAGGAGCTTGGAGATCCTTTCGAGGGGACTGTCATCCATGTTTTCAGGTCTCAGGGGCATATTAAAGGTGGGAACAGCAAAAAAAAAAAAAGTCCAAACATTGCCACTGAGTGGTACTTACTACCTTTTTTTTTTCTTTTTCTTTTTTTGGTGTTTTTTTTTTGTTTGTTTTCCCCTGGGACAGTGCTGGAGTGGGAAGCAGAGCAGATGGAGCTGGAGCTGAGGTGGGCACCAACCCACCAGCCCCACTCAATTCAGCAGCTCCAAAGCAGTGCCTCTTTGCATAGCACAGAAAGGCAAGTAAAACACGTAGACCAGGCGTTTCTCCACATTCTTCTCACTCATCCGACAGCTAACGCCAGGCAGACTCCAATTATAACAGCTACCTTGCAGACAAGATAATCTTTTCCATTCCTTCAAGATTTCTGGAAGGCTCTGTAATTTCTACACGCATGTTTCATAAAAAAACTTTTGTAAATACAGTCATTGTTCAGCACAAATCTTCACCCTGAACATCCATTTGTAAAACCAAACCTATAATTAATATATTGGTAAAAGCCATAGCCTGGGGTCAGTAGAGTTCATTGCAAAACTCCCCACTGATTTTACTGGGTACGGGATTTGGGGATTTTTAGTTTTACTTTTTTTCTGTGGGGAACCCAATGTATCCACTATGAATGAGTGCCATGTCTTTGCAGAGGTCTCCTTTTCCTTCCTAGACCAGCCTTTCTTCATCTAAAGCATCCTGAAGCTATTTATTCTTTCATTAGTCAAGCTCATCAAGTAGCTAGTGGCAGTGTAGGATGGATCAGGCCACACCATTTCAACCCTTCCTCTCCCAACCAACTTCCAATGACACTTTCCCATCCTTCCTAGCCAGCAGCACTGAACCTTTGTCTCCTACCTATCTCCCTGGTTCCATTTACGTAACATCCATTTATCTTTTTTTTTCTTTTTCCTCCTTCATAAGAGGGGGAAAAAAAGGACTTTTTATTGCTTTTACAGACAGTAGGTAAAAATAGAGCGATAAAATTTTGATTGGAACCTGATGGCAAAGGTTTAGGAGGAAGAAAGTAAAAGAATAAAGAAATAAAAATAAAAAACCCACATCCCCTACTTAAAAAAAAAAAAGAAAGAAAGAAAAAAGAAGAAGAAGAAGAAAGGAAAAAAAAACTATTTAAGTGCTAATTAACATACGTTAAAAAATACCCAGACTGCAGCAGCACTAGGTAGAGCTGTCAGAAAAAGCACTAAACTTATGCTCTTGCCAGTTACATGAGAATTTAAGTGTCTTTTCAGCACTGCAATTCTGTATGAAAAGGATATTGCTATGGCAACCCTCACTGTTCGTGACATGTGTGCCACAAAGTCGGAGCGACACGCAGCAATTGCAAATGCACTCCCAGCCAAGCCAAGGCTGGACAAACGGCTCCCAGCAGCCCGGGACAGCCTTTCAGCTCAAAGATGAGCAAATTATCAACAAACTCTGAGCACCCCAAAGGCAACTCTGTTGGCTTAGCCATAAAACAACAAAAATGAATAAAAGGTGTGTAATTAAACAGATTGGCACGCAGGGAATGATTTGAAGTGGCTGTGATTGTTCTAGCCTGAGAGAGGCTTTGATTTGGTTTGGCTTGGGAGCAAATGAAGTTAAGGCAGTGTAAGCATTGCTCAACACAAGCCGTCCTGTGCTTGTTGGGCAGGTCCTCCAAGAAGGGACAAATCCCCAGTGGGTGGAACTTGGCTTATTGCTTCTGCCCAGCACAGCGCTGCTTTGCTGTTAGCCAATTGTGGCTTTGAAGGCACCACAAGGCATCTGCTTCTGGAGAAGTTAATGAGGAAAAAATCATTATTTTTCCTGTTTGATGGGTATTCACAAATGTGCCTGTGACTGTTTTGGGCAGCCCATGCTGATGGGCTCACAAACTCCTCAGGACAAGGGCCGTCCATGAGCAGAAAGGGTGGGAGGTGGGAGAGCTGACTGCTCGCACTGCACCCAGGGAAGTTAGAGCTGAATGCTAGGGCATTGTGTGCTCAGAGGTTTGGTGTTTGTTGGGAGCTCACTGTGGATATGATGATCCAGTAGGGCTGGATGTTAGTAGCTTCACAACAGAGATTTCCATCAATTCTGAGATAGAATAGATACGTACATGTGCACTGTTTTAAGCTGAGACCAAGTAAATGAGGTTTTTTGGTCCTTCTCCCGTAAGACATAGAACAGTGGGTAAGTGAATCAAGAACAGATAAAAAGTGTTCCTAAGGGTGCTACTTGAGATGGATAAAGTCTTTTTGACAGATTTGGATGAGCAAAGTACCTATTGGCAGACACTTTATTCTGTGGAAAGAACACATATCTTTCTACCTGCTGCAAAAGGCCAAAACATCTCCTGGGACACTCAGAGGACTGTCCAAGGCCATCCAGGGTTTAGTGCTGGCTTTGCTTGGGATGACACAATGTATTGTGAGGTGCCCGGTACACAGAAACTTGCAGCTTTTTCCATGAAAGACTCCCTTATCCTGCACGTAGCACACACGTGCACAAGCAAATAGCTGTGCCAAGGGCTGTCATCACACAAAAGCAAGAGGTTCACAGTCCCGAGTCAGACTTAGATCTGTGAAGAGAGAAGCAGTAGGAGGAATATATTAAGATCACTAAGAATGAAGTTCCCTATTTTATCCACCCGTGTAATAAATTATTTAGTTTCTGCTTTATGGATGACTGTTTGAAAGAAGAAAAACCAACTCTTCTAAAAGGAGAATCTGATAAAGTATCTTTTATCTTGGCTCTGAATCATGCTTACATTCCATAGATGAAGATGTACAGAACTTGCTGATTTTCAATCTATTATTTTACTGTATCAAGTTCTGACAGTGCAATTACATTTCCTTGGCATCACTTAGAACCTATTACTTTCCCAGGAACAGAGGAATTTAATACAGAAAAAAAAAAGGCTCAAAACACTTTAATCTTTCTGTGTTGTTGGTTGTTATCATCTTGTTTATCTCCAGTTCAAGTAGGATGATTTAGGCAGCTCTACAAAATGTAGAGCTTCACCAAAAGCAAGATGGACAGAAAATCTGACAACACTACTTTAATTGGAAGAATACTTTACTACTATCT